CTCTTACCAGGCTTCACGCACTGTTGCTGTATAGTCAACCCAGTCCCCGCAGGGACTCTTACCAGGCTTCACGCACTGTTGCTGTATAATCAGCCCAGTCCCCGCAGGGACTCTTACCAGGCTTCACGCACTGTTGCTGTATAGTCAGCCCAGTCCCCGCAGGGACTCTTACCAGGCTTCACGCACTGTTGCTGTATAGTCAGCCCAGTCCCCGCAGGGACTCTTACCAGGCTTCACGCACTGTTGCTGTAGTCAGCCCAGTCCCCGCAGGGACTCTTACCAGGCTTCACGCACTGTTGCTGTATAGTCAGCCCAGTCCCCGCAGGGACTCTTACCAGGCTTCACGCACTGTTGCTGTAGTCAGCCCAGTCCCCGCAGGGACTCTTACCAGGCTTCACGCACTGTTGCTGTATAGTCAGCCCAGTCCCCGCAGGGACTCTTACCAGGCTTCACGCACTGTTGCTGTAGTCAGCCCAGTCCCCGCAGGGACTCTTACCAGGCTTCACGCACTGTTGCTGTATAGTCAGCCCAGTCCCCGCAGGGACTCTTACCAGGCTTCACGCACTGTTGCTGTATAGTCAGCCCAGTCCCCGCAGGGACTCTTACCAGGCTTCACGCACTGTTGCTGTAGTCAGCCCAGTCCCCGCAGGGACTCTTACCAGGCTTCACGCACTGTTGCTGTATAGTCAGCCCAGTCCCCGCAGGGACTCTTACCAGGCTTCACGCACTGTTGCTGCAGTCAGCCCAGTCCCCGCAGGGACTCTTACCAGGCTTCACGCACTGTTGCTGTATAGTCAGCCCAGTCCCCGCAGGGACTCTTACCAGGCTTCACGCACTGTTGCTGTATAGTCAGCCCAGTCCCCGCAGGGACTCTTACCAGGCTTCATGCACTGTTGCTGTATAGTCAGCCCAGTCCCCGCAGGGACTCTTACCAGGCTTCACGCACTGTTGCTGCAGTCAGCCCAGTCCCCGCAGGGACTCTTACCAGGCTTCACGCACTGTTGCTGTATAGTCAACCCAGTCCCCGCAGGGACTCTTACCAGGCTTCACGCACTGTTGCTGTATAGTCAGCCCAGTCCCCGCAGGGACTCTTACCAGGCTTCATGCACTGTTGCTGTAGTCAGCCCAGTCCCCGCAGGGACTCTTACCAGGCTTCACACACGGTTGCTGTATAGTGCAGGTGGCTTCGCACCTCTTGGTTTTGTGTTGTGTTTACCCTGCTGTGCCACCAGCTGAAAAGCAGACTGTGTTGCCCAAATCATTTGAAACCCCAAAATGTGTAATAACATTTAAGCACATGGAGAAAAAGAAATTTACCTCATTAGTAATCAAAGAAATGCAAATAAAAGTAATGAGAATTTATGGGGAAAAAATCATTGTAGTAACTACGACTGAAGAGGTTCAGTGACCGGGTGCAGTGGCTCAAAATCCCAGCACTTTGGGAGGCCAAGGCAAGTGGATCATGAAGTCAAGAGATTGAGACCATTCTGGCTAACATGGTGAAACCCATCTCTACTAAATATACAAAAAATTAGTGCACCTGTAGTCCCAGCTACTCAGAAGGCTGAGTCAGGAGAATCGCTTGAACCGGCAAGGTGGAGGTTGCAGTGAGCCGAGATCGTGCCACTGCACTTCAGCTTGGCGACAGAGCAGGACTCCGTCTCAAAAAAAAAAAAAAAGAAAAAGAAAAGGTTCTGCAAGTCCAGCTCTTCTCTGCACTGCAGGAGGGACTATAAATTGGATGGTTTCTCTAGGGTCAAATTGACAATATGCATAACACAACATCCCACACAATCTCACTTCTTTTCTAAGGATTTACTCTAAATGATCAGAGACCTGTATCACATGTTTGTATACAATAGTGTGTCTCAAAGTGTTTTAGAATAGAACCCACATCAATGTCAGCGTTGTAAAGGGTTAAGTAGATCACACGTGTGTGATGGAATACAATTCGTCCATGAACATTAATTATGCTGGAAGAAGTAAAACCCAGGGTTAAGTGATGCGCTTTAGGTTCATACTTCCTGGCTTAGAACTCTTCCCAAGTCCTTGCAAGCTGGGTAATGTGGGGAAATCATTTAACCTACCTATGCCTCAGTTTTCTTATCTGAAAAAGGGAGAAATAGTGGTAATTGTAATGTCGAAATGAAATAATTCACTTGGCAGGCTTAGCACCATGCATGGTGTCCAGCAAATGTTAGTATTAAGCAAGTTACTTAACACCTGGGACTCAGTTTCCGCCTCTGTAAAATGGGAATGACAGTAGCTTCTACCTCAGAAGGATGTTGGTGAAGCTTAAATGAGTTAGTATGCAGAGAGTGCATGGCATGGACCTAGCACACAGCAACCACCGGGTAAGTGGCTGCTGCCATTGGTGCTACAAGCGTCGGGAAATGTTCACGTAACACCAGATACCTAGTAAAATACTCAGGCTGTTCAGAAATTCACATGCTCACACACACGTAGGTGAGAAGGTATGCATAAAAGTAACTATCTCTGAGTAGAAAGATTATAAGCAATTTTTGTTTTTTGAAATGTTTTTATATTCTTCCAACATTCATTTTCAACAATGAATACATTACTTTAATAATTTAAGAAGCAAACAGCTATCTTAGACTTGAAGCATTTTTCAATGTCAGCCTCGCCCATGGTGAATCAAAACTGTTGAGGCCCTGAACTTCCTTCCAGTTAATGGTTTTTCCCTATTATAAAGCCCTAGTCTCAGATCATTCATAGGTGGTAGCTTAATATTTCCACACATTAAGCTGAGTAACAGTGCTCTTCAGATACTTTCTTTTGGTTGCTTTAGAACTGTGATTCTAAACTCTGGAGGCGTGCTAGAGTCATTTGGGAGATTTTGAAATATACTGGCTCCTCGTTAGACCAGTTACATCCACATATTTGGAGATGGGCCCTGGGCATTGGTATCTTTTAAAGACTCAAAAGGAAATCCTAATGTGTGGCCCTGTAGTGAACAGCACCCTGCATTTGATACTACCATTTCCTGCCTTGCAGAGAGTTTCAACCCATGAACAGGGCTCCCCTCTTCTGCTACTCAATCTCAGTGTGAGTCCTAACAGTGTTTCCCAAAATTGAGGATGAGAATCCTCTGAACTGTTTGTTAAAAATACAGATAGGGCCAGTGCAGTGGCTCGCTCCTATAATCCCAGTACTTTGGAAGGCTGAGGTGGGAGGATGACTTGAGGTCAGAAGTTCAAGACCAGCCTGGCCAACATGATGAAACGCTGTCTCTACTAAAAATACAACAATTAGCTGGGTGTGGTGGCAGGCACCTATAATTCCAGCTACTCGGGAGGCTGAGGCACAAGAATTGCTTGCACCCAAGAGGCAGAGGTTACAGTGAGCTGAGATAGTGCCACTGCACTCCAGCCTGGGCAATAGAGCGATATTCAAGTCTCAAAAAAAAAAAATATACAGATGGGTCAGGCATGGTGCTTTATGTCTGTAATCCCAACACATTAGGAGGCTAAGGTAGGAGGATTTCATGATCCAGGAGATCAAGGCCAGACTGAACAACATAGCAAGACCTCATTTCCACAAAAACATCTTAAAAACTAGCAAGGCATGGTGGCGTGCCTGTATTCAGTCCCAGCTACTTGGGAGGCTGAAGTGGAAAGATTGCTTGAGCCCAGGAGTTTGAGTCTGTGGTGGTGAGCCATGATTATACCACTGCACCCAGTCGGGGTGATAGAGTGAGACCCTGTCTCAAAAATAAATATGTAAATAAAAATCTAAATGCAAATGCCTGGGCCCTAACCCAGACCTACCAAGTCTGAACTTTCAGAGGGAGAGACTTGGTAATGTGTATATTTTACAAGCCCGCTGGGTGATGCTTCCCATCAGAGAGATGAGGGGATTTTGCCAGAGACATCTTTCTCAGTCTTGGCTGCACACTGGGAATCCCTGGAGACACTCGGAGAAGCTCAGATGCCTGGCCGCCTTCTCCCCATTTACTACCCGCACATCTAAGATTGTAATGTAATGTGTCTAGGATCCTGCCTGGCGTCTGGGTTTTTGAAGTCCTCCTGGATTCTAATCTGCAGTCAAGGTGAGCAGCCACCAGCAATGATGGTTCCCAAAGTAAGGCCCTGGGACCAGCAGCCTCAGCATCACCTGGGAACTTGCAGATTACGGAGCCCCCACCCAGACCCGCCAGATGAGAAGCTGGGGATGGGACCCAGCGATCTGTATCTCACCAGTTCCAGGACTCGGTGACTCTGATTCCCGCTAGAGTTTCAGAACCGCTGCTGAAAAGCAATATTGTTAAAAGCAGGTTCCCAGATTGCCTCCCAGAGATTGGACAGGATATCTAGACTGAGACGGGAGTGTGCTCCAAGTGGTGTAGGACCACACCTTGAGAAGCACTGCTGCAGGGTTAACTCTTGTTGCCTCAGGCATCTCTGTTCTCATGAGGCAGGGTCTCACTCTGTTGCCCGGGCTGGAATGCAGTGGCGCAATCACAGCTCACTGCATCCTCGAACTCCTGGGTGCAAGCAGTTCTCCCTCATACTCTGGAGTTGTTGAGACAGGTGGGCATTACCAAGCCGGGCTTATTTTTAAATTTTATGTAGAGACAGCATCTTACCGTTGTGCAGGCTGTTCTCAGACTCCTGGCCTCAAGACAGTCTCCCACCTTGGCCTCCCATAGTGTTGGGATTACAGGCATGAGCCACCGTGCCCGGTCCCCCACTTGGGCATTGTAAAGTTTTTAAGGACGTTGACATCTCTGGAGTACACCCAACATCCGTGTATTCTTGTGGGCCGCCCACTGCTGCCCCTTCTTGGCCCTTGATGCCAAAACATATGGCTGTCTTCCAACCATAATTAATGGGATATGTTTTCTTTAAAGCTGGCAAGTACTATGGCTGGGAATCAGGCTTTCAAAGTTGCTGACCTGAGTTTGACTTTGAACGCCAGTCACAGAAGCCGATGACGGCGTGTTCCTTCTGTGCCTAACGTCTGTGCCTCTTTGCTTGTAGGTGTTATAATCATCCTGCCTCAGCACGGTCCTCTCATCATCCCTCGACTGGTAACGACCAAGCCCAGAGGAGAAGAGGACGGCCAGCAGCCAGGAGCCAGAAGCCGAAGGGTCGTGAAGACCTGGAGGCCAGAGGCATGGCCCAAGCCCACAGCCTGCCTGTCCACATGAGGGAGGGTCCCTGGGAGGTTGGAGGAAGGTCAGAGCATGTGATGAAGAAGGCAGTTTGGGATGAAGAGTTGAGAATGTCGGCTCCTGCCAAGTGGCAGAACGTCAGCCTGGAAAGCTGGAGCCAGCCACGGAAATTAGGGAGGCAGATGTCTGATGGGGATGGGGAGAGACTGTTTCAAGACCTGTACCCATTCATTCAAGGAGAACACGTGTTGAATTCTCAGAACAAAGGGAAATCCCGCTCACTGCCTAAAGTTCTTTCCCCCGAGAGCCTGGGTTGCACGGAAATTCCCATTCCATTACATGACAGGCATTCACCTAAAATGCCACCATATCCTCCCACTTGCGCACCAAATCTGGACTCCTCGAGGAATTCTGAGAAAGTTGGCTGCTCGGCCCCATTTCCCCGGCCTAAGTTTGGGAGGCCTCTCAAGCCCCCATCTTATGGCTCACACCAGCAATCTAGGGGAGGAGCAGACAGCAGTGACTCTCAGGACAGCCAGCAGATCGATGCCTATGTCCCCAGGCACGAGCTCTGCCTGTCAGACCCGGGGTTGGAACCTCCAGTGTACGTGCCTCCGCCCTCATACAGGTCGCCCCCACAGAACATCCCAAACCCCTACTTAGAAGACACGGCACCAGTAAATGTGTGTGGCGGTCACAGCCAACAGCAGTCTCCGACCGAGAAGGCTGGGGCCAGCGGTCAGCCTCCTTTGCGCCCCGCTGGAACTGGGAATGAGTATGGTGCCAGCCCCCGCTCACCTCAGGGGCTCCCTACACACCCCCGACCTGTCACTGCCTACGATGGCTTCGTTCAGTACATTCCCTTTGACGATCCACGGTTACGACATTTTAAACTAGCTCAGCCCCAGGGTTTCTGTGAAGATAAAAAACTTGACGATAAATCATATAACTCCAGTCCTGTCACTGCCCAAGAGCCGGCTCATGGAGGAATGCAGGCTGATGGTGCTACCTGGAATCCACAGAGCTTGATACCCCCATCAGGGGATGAGAGGGGCCCGGTCTTGGCCAATCCCAGCCCCCGGTGGCTGTGGGGCCAGCTCCCTGGGGATGGGGAAAACAGTGCCCTCCCCAACCAGAGAGACCGCTGTGTGGCGAGGGGACAGTGGCCTGACATGAGAGGCAGCCAGCATGGGCATGCCGGAAGGCAAGTTTCCCTCCTATACTCCCAGGGCGAGAGCACCTGTGAAACTCAAACCAAGCTCAAAAAGTTCGAAGCTGGGAGTCGCACCAAGAAAAGTTCAAAGAAAAAAATGAACGAGACTATATTTTGTTTGGTTTCTATCCCGGTGAAATCAGAATCACATCTGCCAGATAGAGATATGGACAACAATGACTTAAAGCCCAGCGCTGATCAAAAGAATGGGTCTGATAAGAGCCCAGCGCTGCAAGAACAGAGTCTGCTGAGCATGTCTTCCACCGACCTGGAGCTGCAGGCCCTCACAGGAAGCATGGCGGGGCGAACGGAGTTCCAAAAACAAGATCTGGGGGAACCAGAAGAAGACAGACAAACAAATGACCTCAGATTCATCCACCTCACAAAGCACAGAGAACTCAAGCATTCTGGCTCTTGGCCGGGGCACCGGTACAGGGATCAGCAGACACAAACCAGTTTCTCCGAGGAGCCCCAAAGCTCGCAGCTGCTCCCTGGTGCAAAGCTGGAAGGGTCAAGTCAGGCACCCCCGAGTCCAAAAGGTTTGGACCCTGCTGCCTCCGAAGCTCAGACGCACACGGCATTCCCTTACGGTGACCACAAACAGAGGCCAGGTGCCCGTAACCTGAAGGGCCACAGGTCCCTCAGCCCATCCAGCAACAGTGCTTTCTCAAGGACTTCCTTGTCCGTAGATCAGGCACCGGTGCCAAAAGCAGGCCGAAGTCAGCCCTTCGTGGATGTCCACAGGCTCGGAGGCCACCCTGAGCCTAAGCGGGAGGTGGTGAAGGGCGAGCCTACAGGCCCGTGCAACAGTAAACAACTCTTCGGGCAGTTTCTCCTGAAACCGGTCAGCCGTCGTCCCTGGGATTTGATCAGTCAGTTAGAAAGTTTTAACAAGGAGCTCCAGGAAGAGGAAGAAAGCAGCAGTAGCAGTAGCAGCAGCAGCAGCAGCGGTGAGGAAAGTGAGGCGGAGCCGCCGCAGGAGAATGTGGGCTTCCGTGGAAACAGCCCGGAAGTGACGGTTGAGCCACAGCCGAGGATGTGGGTGCCGGAGAGCCCCGTGTGCAGGTCGGGAAGAGGTGAGAGTAAGTCTGAGAGCTGGAGTGATGAGTGGGGGCCTGGCCACCCGCGTGCCTGGCCTCTATCCCCAGGCCGCTGTCGCGTGGAAGACGGTGGCGGTGCGCCTTTCTGGTCAGCAGATGAAAGCATGAGTGCGCAGAAGAGACACCCGGAGGTTAGCAATGGAATGGACGGGCCAGCGGGCAGCCCAGTTCCTGTGACGAGAATGTCTTCAAGATCAAGTGACGCAAAACCAGTGCCCCTGTCCTATCCAGCTGAACCTAGGGAGCCCCAGGGAAGTCAGAAATTCACCAGTGCTTTCAGCTCTGTGAAACCGAGCGAAGCGGTCCCTCGGCAGGTTGACAGTGGTGGAGAGAGGGGCGCAGGGCTCCCGCTGCCCCTGTCTAACAAGAACCGGGGGCTCTCAGCTCCAGATTTACGGTCCGTGGGGCTCACCCCTGGGCAAGAGCAGGGTGCCAGCGAGCTAGAGGGGTCTTTGGGTGAAGCGAGTGTGGTAGAAATCCCCCCAGGTGAGTCCTTGCAAGCCAGGGCTGCAAGGATCCTGGGCATTGAGGTGGCGGTGGAGTCCCTCCTGCCGGGAACACAGAGAGCAGGACAGAACCAACCTGCTGAGCCCGACGCAAGTGCCTGCACCCCAGAGTCCCCCCAGGAAGAGTCGCCGACTGGCCCAGAACCGGCAGCTGTCCCCAGGGTGTCCACCGATTCCTTTTATGGCAGGCGGAAGTGCGGCTGGACCAAGAGCCCTCTCTTTGTAGGGGACAGGGACAGTGCCAAGCGGGCTCCTCAGGCTTTTGAGGACTCAGATGTGGACGGGGTGGTCACCAGCACAGCCCCCGTCCCTGAGCCTGAGCCTAGCCCCTCGGAATCCGAGTTCTTTGAACAAAAGGATGTGGAGGCAAAACCACCCTTCAGGTCCACTTTGTTTCATTTTGTAGAAGGAACCCCAAGTGTGGCAGGCTCAGAAAAGCGACTCAGAAGCCCTTCCAAAGTGATAGAAAGTTTACAAGAGAAGCTAGCCTCCCCGCCTAGGAAAGCAGACGCTGACCGCATGATGAGAATGAAAGAGGTGAGTTCTGTGTCGCGGATGAGATTCCTCAGCTCTAGGAATGCCGACTACGTGGAGGAGGCTGAGGAACTGAAGGCCACCACGAGGGGCCAGGCTGGGCTCCCGGGAGGCCCCGTGTCTCCTGGTGGCCGGGATCAGGCCTGGAGAGGGGGCCACTCACTCTCCATCTCCGAGGACAGCGTCTCTAAGGAAGAGAAGGAGCATCCAGCAGCACAAAAGGAGAAGAGCCTGGATGAAGACTTCTGGTGTCCAGGTGAGGAATCAGGCAGGCAGGCAGGAGCTTGGCATGCATTTGGAGTCTTTATTTAAAAAATACCAGGTTGGTGGATAATGTAAATCTGCATATTCAGAAAAGATCAAGTTGACCCTGGGAAATGTGTTATCAAAAGATTCCTCAGTTTCAAAGAATTATGCAGAAGCCATCTTTAAAATTCAAGATCTTGCAATGTATTTCATTTATTTTATTTTTTTGAGATAGCATCTCACTGCATTGCCTAGGCAGGAGTTGAGTGTCGCAGTCTCTGCTCACTGCAACCTCCGCTGCTTCCTGGGCTCAAGTGATCCTCCCACCTCAGCCTCCCGAGTAGTTGAGGCCACAGGCGTGTGCCACCATCTCCAGCTAATTTTTTAACTTTTTTTGTAGAGACGGTATCCCACTATGTTACTCAGGCTGGTCTTGAACTCCTGAGCTCAGGTGATCCTCTTGCCTTGGCCTCCCAAAGTGCTAGAATTATAGGCATGAGCCACTATGCCCAGCCTCTTGCAGTGTCTTTTAAATGAGTATATCTTTAGAGAAAGTATGTAAACCACTATGTGTTGTCTACATAAATAACTTTCAAGCCTCTTAATGTGAAGAGGTAAATCAATAAAGTATTCCAACTTTGTGCAGGCCCCTGTGAATCTCGCTGGAGACCACAGCACATGTACTGTCTACTGTCTTCTCAAGTCATAGGCATTCATTCACCCTAACAGCCCTCAGTGCCCTTTACCAACCTAAAAAAGATGGCATAGCAAGGTGATTGAGTAAACCACCATTCCCATTCTGCTCTCTTATGTTTGCACCCTCCATAATTCTTTGCCATTCCATTTTTTTCCTTTTTCCACTGCCATGCCATTCATGAAACTTTCAGGTTTCAGTAAAAACATTTGCTAGACAAAATTCAGTTTGTATTTTCTCAACACCCCAGCCACCAGAAAACCTACCCACCTGCCATGTTTCTGAAGTCCCCTAAGTTTCGATTGCTAAACTCAGGTGAGGTGTCTTCCTTTGAGTCCTCTCCATCGTCTTACCTTAACGTGTTTTTGGAGCTTCCTCTGATAACATAAAACCACAAGGCAGTTTCCCATCCACGGTGACAGAGATTTCCCCCCATCATGACTTTGACATCTCATCTCTCACACAAACAGGTCCAGAGAATTCTTGGCATGTCTGTTTCAAGCATTTTCTTCAGAGCCTGGGAATCAATCAATTATAGATCCCAGAATGATCAGAATGTCAAAAGATAAATGTCAGAAGATCCACATCATAAGCCATGGACTGGAAGGGACCTTCTGTCATTTAGTCCAAGCCTTCTTTTTTTTCTTTTCTTTCTTTTTTTTTTTGAGACAGAGTCTCACTCTGTCACTCAGGCTGGAGTACAGTGGTGCCATCTCAGCTCTCTGCAACCTCTGCCTCCTTGGGTTCAAGCGATTCTTCTGCTTCAGCCTTCCAAGTAACTGGGACTACAGGCGCGTGCCACCATGCCTGACTTATTTTTGTATTTTTAGTAGAGACTGGGTTTCACCATGTTGGCCAAGCTGGTCTTGAACTCCTAACCTTAGGTGATCTGCCTGCCTTGGCCTCCCAAAGTGCTGGGATTACAGGTGTGAGCTACTAAGCCCGGCCCAGTTTAAGCCGTTTTACAGTAAGGGAAAAATGAAAATCTTGGCCCCCACGGGTTGAATTAGGGGAATGCCCTCTCCTGAGCCGGGCCCTTCCCCTTCCCAGTCTCCAGCAGGTGGTTCTGCTCCTCCCACCCCTTTCTGTTTTCTTTTTTGAAATGCAAGAATTTTGAAGCAGATAGGAAAGAGCAGTTATTTCAGTTGGAAGTAGTCAGAGATTTCTATTGAACAAAAAAATGTACATGGGCACTTTCAAGTTTTTTCCAAATACAGTGGGATTCTTAGGGGTGTTAGCAGGTGCTGCTACTCTGCTCCATATGCAAAATAAGTGATTGAAATAATCCTTTGTTGGGGGTCTGTTGGATCCTCTAGTTGGACGAGTTGGGGCTCTGCTGTGGTAGAGAATACCGAGAATGTGAAGACTTTGCCATTATGGTGGAAAAAGCGTTACCTGCCCATTTTCTGAGCTGTCAGGATTTATTATAGCCTTCAGCATAATTCCTCTGCAGTCCCCCTTCCTCCTCAAAAAATATGCCAACTAGACTTTAAGGCTAGTTAAAACTTGTCATAGACTTCTAAAGCAAGTTTCTTCATCTGTAAAATCAGGATGATTCTCTCAGTTCTGCGGCTTCCTGAGAATTGTAAGGAGTGTAAAATAAGACAAATTAATCATGTTATAATAAAATACCGGTTGGTAAATATTTCTGTGTCTCAGATCATGCATACCTATTTCAGGGAGGTTTTTTGTTGGTTTTTTGTTTTGTTTGAGACAGAGTCTCACTCTGTTGCCCAGGCTGGAGTGCGGTGGCATGATTGTAGCTCACTGTAGCCTTAACTCCTAGGCTCAAGTGATTCTCCTGCCTCAGCCTCCCAAGTAACTGGGACTACAGGCATGCACCGCCACACTCAGCTATTTTTTTTTTTTTTTCTAGTTATCTGTAGAGATGGAGTCTTGCCACATTGCCCAGGCTAGTCTTAAATTCTTGGCCTCAAACAATCCCCCCGCCTCAGCCATGGTGCCCCGTCCAGGGAGTATTTGATAAGACAAAATTTCCAGCTCAGTAAAGCACTTCCTTGATTTTTAGCTTGACCATTTAGAAACAGAAGGTCCAGTAGGTATCTAAAAACACCCAGGTAGTGCACATTTTAATTTTAGCCAGTTATTAAAAACACCTTCCTCATGACCTTTTTTTTTTAACCATTGCTACTAACAAGCAGAAAATTTAATTATTTTTTTCTCTTCTCCATCTGATACAGTTGCTAATACACAATAAAATGGCCAAAAATCTACAGGCAGAGAGCTACTCATGTTGACAGCTTCCTGGGGCACTTTCAAGTACACTCATGCATCAGTTAATGATGGGGCTTACTCTGAGAAATGCATCATTAGTAGTTTCATCATTGTGTGAACACCTTAGAGAGTGCATGTCCACAAACCGAGATGGTAGCATCTCCCACACTCCCAGGCTTCATGGTAGAGTCCATTGCTCCCAGGCTGTAAACGTGTACAGCCTGTTACAGTATGGAATTCTGCAGGCAATTGTAACACATGGTAAGTATTTGTATATCTAAACACATCTAAAGAAAAGGTACAGGCCTGGCGGGGTGGCTGATGCCTGTGATCCCAGCACTTTGGGAGGCCAAGGCGGGCGGTCACTTGAGGTCAGGAGTTCAAGACCAGCCTGGCCAAGATGGTGAAACCCTGTCTCTACTAAAAATACAAGAATTAGCCGAGTATAATGGTGGGTGCCCATAATCCCAGCTACTTGGGAGGTTGAGGCAGGAGAATCTCTTGAACCTGGGAGGCAGAGGTTGCAGAGAGCTGAGATCATGCCATTGCACCCCAGCCTCAGTAACAAGAGTGAAAGTCCACCTAAAAATAAAAAAGGAAGAAAAATCACAGTAAAAATATGGTATAAAATATAAAAAAAGAAAGGACTGCAGGGCACGGTGGCTCACACCTGTTATCCTAGCACTTTGGGAGGCTGAGTCGGGCAGATCACAGTCAAGAGATCGGGACCATCCTGGCCAGCATGGTGAAACCCCGTTTCTACTAAAAATACAAAAAATTAGCTGGGCATGGTGTTGCATGCCTACAGTCTCAGCTACTCGGGAGTCTGAGGCAGAAGAATCGCTTGAACCCAGGAGGCACAGTTGCAGTGAGCCGAGATCGAGCCACTGCACTGCAGCCTGGTGACAAAGTGAGACTCTGTGTCAAAAAAACAAACAAACAGAAAGGACCACTTTTATCGGGCACTGACTGTGAATGGAACTTGCAGGACTGGAAGTTGCCTTGGGCAAGTCAGTGAGTGGTGGCTGAATGTAAAGGCCTAGAAACCTCCTCTACACTACGGTAGACTTCTTAAACCCTGTACACTTAGGCTACACCACATTTTCAAATTCATCGCACTATGACATTATGACGTCACTAGATGATAGGAGTTTTTCAGCTTCATTATCATCTTATGGGACCACTGTCATATATGTGGCCCATCATTGACCAAAACGTTGTTCTGTGGTGCGTGACCGTGATTGGAGGGAAGAGCACTATTAGGGACAGTTTCTCACCAGGTGGCCCTTAATAGGCCTTTCATGTGATGGTCACCAGGCCTCAATATTCAAAACCATTGGTTTTGAGAGCAGGTCACATGATAGAGGTAGTAAAACTGTTGACAGATGTCCACTGTTCCACTCACTGTTTCACAAGTTATAACAGTCCCTTCACTGTTCCTCTAGGGTACGCCTCAGTGCATTGTCCTCAGCTGAAGGGGACCCCATAGCCTTGCTGGCATGTCACCGATAAGCTCTTGGACTTGGCTTTCCTTTTGAAGTATTTAATGATTTTGAACATGAGACTCCTCATCTCTCTCCCCCCACCGCACTGCTGTCCCCTTGACCCCAGCATGCTAGAACCGCTTCATTGCTCCTAAATCCGTGGCGCACTTAAATTCAGCCTGTGTGCCAGAACTGTAAAGCAAGGCCATGCCGTGCCTACCTGTACCACCTCACCCTACACATGCCCCCTTCTAGAACTTTATAATCCATGTTGCGCCATCAGTGTCTTTATTTTGTATTAAAGTTGGTCATTTCAGCTCACATGTCTTTAGTGGTCTTTCGTGCCTCTGGTTAAGCAATCAGCAGCCCAAAGCCCATTCAGGTCACAGGCTCCCATCTTTGCTGGATGACTTAGGCTCTAATTCAGAAGTGTCATCCCAGGCTCTCATCGTACACAGAACCTCCTGTTTCCATCATCCTCGGTTGCAAACCCTGTTAATATGAGTCCAAGGGAAGAAAGAAGAGGTATCTGTGTGAGGCCCAAAATGAAGGAAAGGGGGAAGGCTTCAGGATGCCAGATCACTCCATTAGAAGGCTGAATGTTAGCACATCTTCGGGGGCATTAATGGGTGAAATACCTTTTAAGGTAGGCCTCAGTGTGTTGTCCTCAGCTGAAATGGATCCCACAGGAAACAGGATTCTTAATTCTCCAAGTAACCACCCTGTCCCCTAGACCTGCGCTGTCCAATATCATAGCTCCTCGTCATAATCAGCTACTGGGCACTTGAAATATGGCTCATGCAAATTGAGAAGTACTCTAAGTGTAGGAGACACCAGATTCCAAAGACTTAGTATAAAAAAAAATCGAAAATACCTCAATAATTTTTATATTGGTTACATATTAAAATGATAATATTTTGAATTATTTGGTGAAATAAAATATACTATTAAAATTAGTTTCACTGGTTTTTATTTGTTTTAACCTAGCTACTAGAAATTTCAAAATACTGATGACTGGGCGTGGTAACTCATGATTATACTCCCAGTACTTTGGGAGGAAGAGGTGGGAGGATTATTTGAGCCCCAAACCAGCCTGGGCTACATAGTGAGACCCCCATCTCTACAAAAGATAAAAAAACAAAATTAAGCATGGTAGTGGATGTCTGTAGTCCCAGCTACTTGGGAGGCTGAGGCAGGAAGATCGCTTGAGTCTAGGAGTTCCAGGCTGCAGTGAGCTGTGATCGTGCTGCTGCACTCTAGCCTGGGTGACAGAGTGAGACCCTGTCTTTAAGAAATAAAATAATATAATGTTTCATGGCCCACATTATACTTTTATGGGACCAGGACAGTCCGTGAGCTGAAGAAAGAGCCCATGGGACTGTGGGCGGCAGGGTTGTCCTGTGGAGGTGTCTGCGGTGTGCCTCGCACAAAAGACCACTAAAAAGATGTGAGCTGAAATGACCATTTGTAATCTAGAGACACTTGATATGATAGGTACAACACAGCACAGATAATAAGGGCGCCGAAGGGTGTGTGCATTGGGTGGTGTGGTACAGACAGACATGGCATGGCCTGTTCAGTGCCCAGTGTTATGTAATGGGAGACTTAGCCTGGAAGACACTGACATCTTAATAACAGATGCTCCCAGTAGCCGAAGTGTGACCTCCACATGTTCTCATCATTTAGTGACCGCCCACCTTCTTCTCAACGGAGAAAAAGACACCCCTGCTCACAGGAGGATCCTCTCAGATGAACACTGAGGCTGACTGAGCACAGAAGTGAAGCACCCAGCTATTAATGTCTTACATTGTTTCATGGGTGTTGTTAAACTTAACAGTCAAAAGGAACTTATGTGAACTCCCCTTCCTTATAGCCAGATTGCCCCTGCATGCAGATGTTGATGTTTGAGCAGGCGCAGACTCCTTTCCTAAATGCAGAGACTGTCCCATCTGCTTAGTAATGCAGGACTCAAAGTGCTCTCAACACTGTCTCAGTCACCACAGTCGTGGTACCTGTTGTATCATCAACCCGTCTCAGCCAAGTTGAAAAGGAGTCAGGAGGATATGTAAGACGTTTTGCTGCTGGAGAAACTGGAATGTCTATGGCCTTTGCAATGCACAGTTGTCCAGATGGATTTCAGAAAAATTGTTTTTTTTTTCTTTTTCTTTTTTCTTTTTTTTTTTGAGATGGAGTCTCACTCTGTTGCCCAGGCTGGAGTGCAAGTGGTGCGATCTCAGATCTCAGCTTACTGCAACCTCCGCCTCCCAGGTTCAAGTGATTCTCCTGCCTCAATGTCCCAAGTAGCTAGAACTACAGGCATGCACCACCACACCTGGCTAATTTTTGTATTTTTAGTAGGGACAAGGTTTCACCATGTTGGCCAGGCTGGTCTTGATCTCTTGACCTCAGGTGATCCACCTGCCTCAGTCCCCCAAAGTGCTGGGATTACCAGTGCAAGCCACCTAGCCCAGCCAAAAGATTGTTTCTCTAACTGTCAAATCCTGCCAGATTTCCTTCCTTCCTTCCTTCTTTCTTTTCTTTTCTCTTCTCTTCTCTTTCTTTCTTTCCTTTCTTTCTTTCACATGAATCACCTTTTTTGACCATGTTGAGCTGTGCTATTTTTTTTTCCTTTTTCTTTTTTTCCCAGCTTTATTGGGTCATGATTGACAAAAATTGCATATATTTAAGGTGCAGAACATGGTGCTTTGATTCATGTATAGGTCGTGACGTGGGTACCCCAGTCAAGGCAGTTAACATAGTCATCTCCTCACATAGTTAGCAGTTTTTCGAGTGTGTGCTGAGAACATTTGAGATGCACTCTCTTCACAAATTCCAAGTGTACACGATGGTGTTAGTAACTGAAGTCACCATGCTGTGCACCCGGTCTCTAGTACTTATTCATCTAAGTACTTCTAGTACTTATTCACCCATCAAACTGGGTGCTTCATTTCTGTGCATCTGAGGGTTTGTAACCTTTGGCCACTATTTCTCCTTTTCTTTCACCCCAGCCCCTGGCAGCCACCCTTCTACTCTCTATTACTGTGATTTCAACTTTTTTTTTTTAAAAAAAAGATTCCACATATAGATGAGATCATGCAGTATTTGTCTTTCTGAGTCTGGCTTTTTTCATTTACCATAGTGTCCTTAAGTTTCATGCATGTGTTGTTGCCAATGGCAGGATTTGCTTACCTTTTAATCCATTGTTTGTGTATGTACAGTTTCTTTATCCGCACATCCAGTGACGAACACCTCAATGATGAGGTAGCTTCTTATCTTGACTGTTGTAAATAATGCTACAGTGACCTTCTTGGCTATTGTAAATATCTCTTCTGCACATATCTCTTCCATGCTGATTTCCTTGGCTATTGTAAGTAACACTGCAATGCAGATATCTCTTCCATACTGATTTCCTTTCCTTTGAATACATACCCAGTCATGGGATTGCTAGATCATATGGTAGTTCTATTTTTAATTTTTTTTGAGAAACCTCCATAATGTTTCCATAATGGCTGTAGTCCTACCAGATTGCTTAAACATTTTCTCTTTAAAAATTAAGAAGCCTTTGAGCCGCTATGGCAGAAAGATCTCACCACAGGAGGCACATGTGTGAGCCTCAGGTTTGCCTGGATTCCAGACAGACATCTGCGAACTGGAGGTTGTGGGACTTGGCAGCACCCAGCAGCAGCAGTAGTGACAGTTTAGGATGATTGCTCTTTTGTATCGTGTCCCGTTTTAGAAATCCAGGTCATCTGGGCACAGATTGGGATTTTTCCATTACCAGCAGTAGAATGGATCAGTGTGATGGCCCAGACTCGTGCACACCTGTGTTGGAAGGCTCTGGAAGCCTTGCGCTGACAGGTGAGCAAGCATCCAGCCCGGGGCCTGCCTGCCGGTCGATGGTGATGAGAGACAGGCCTCTCACTGTCAGCCCAGCGTCAGGATTTCAGGATCCTCAAGCCTTCAAGGGACAGCGTTTGATCACAAAGATGCATATTCTTAAGCAAGCTTTCTTTTGAACTGTAATTTACCAAAAAAATAAAAAAAGAAGAAGAAAGAAAGATAAGACATCTCCCTTAATATCAGGCAAACACATCACTGCCAGTTTGGAAACACTGCGTTTAAAGTGAAGTCTATTCCACGGTGAACAGGAAGGAGCCGCCAAAGTTGTCAGCAGTTCATATTTTCCCATCTGTGTCTGGGGAATGACTATGCACATTCCTTGAAAACAGCCTTTTTAACAAATAGTTTTTTACTCCTTAGTGAAAATGGGATTGTTAAAATATCTAAAAATTAACCATTATACAATTGTAGATTTTGTTCCCTTGACTAATTTATGGTCTAAGGATTAAACAGAAAATAGAAGAGTTGAATATACCACTAATTTTCTTTTATTATCTTTCCCTTTTTTGCAGATTCCTATGACCCTAGCAGAGTGGAGAGGGTGTGAGGAAATGCTGGTGGAGCTTGCCTTCCATTGCTAATTGAGTATTCTCAAGTAGCTGGTAGATTTTGTCTATCAGCCCCACTTCCCCATGTAGAAGCTGGAAGCTGCCGGGTTTTAGCATCCTGGTAATATTCTTTACTACTGCCACTAGGAAACCTGCCACCCTCTCAGAATTGCTTTGTGGCTATAGAGCAATCGTCCGTTGAAACCATCTGTTTTTATAGCATGAAGATTTAATGCCTGTAATTAGGAAGGAGTTTTCACAGAAACTCTCCCTCGTGGGAGATTTGACCAAGCTGGTAAATAGTTTGGTGTTGCTCTTGTTCTGGGTGAAAATTTGAATGTGGAAGGTCTAGCAAATGCTTTGGAAAGGCCGGTGAATGGTGTGCGCCCCCTCTGTGTCTCCATGGCCTGCGGTCCGTGCTCTTGTGAAGCAGTTTGGAACACAGGCCATTGCCTGGCGTTTCAGCACTTTCGGTTCAGGGGAAATGTGAATCAATAGGTATGATCCATTTCTAATCAATTTGGCCTTCTGCTGCTGGAAGTAACTTTACTTATAAGTAACTTGCCATCAGAGAATAAAAGCAATATCTTTTAAGTTCCTAAAAAGTTAAAACTTGTACTGTAATATACTAAGAGTATTATTTATCTGGCAGTGAAATATTTTGATCATTTGCAAACATGCCATTGTCTGCTTTGCACTCAGTATTATCTATTTTTATTTTCTGTATGGGTATTTAGAAATTCTTTATATGAAAAACAATTGCTGGTTTAAAATAGACCATTTTAACAAAGTGACTATATTTCTTTTTACAAAAATGCTATTTTTCTATGATGTAAACAATTGTTAGGCAGCAGATTTTTAAGGAAGTATTATTTTATTTAAGAGTCTGTATCCCTTCGTGTGAGAGGAACCCAAAGAGGGTTCACTTTTGCTTTAAAGCTCTGTCCCTTACCTATTCACAACTCTGCTACTTTTATTTTATCTTAGAAAATGTCAATATAGACATATCACAGGGTTAATAAAATAAACTTTTCACAAAGATTTTTTTTTACCAATGTAGCTATCAGGTTATATTTGAAAATAACCCTCTCAAAACCAGCCAACATTGTTATGACAATTTTTGCTGCCATATCAACTAGAATTACCAAAAAACATAGTTTTATCTTTGTATGTGTGTGGGGATCCCTGAGAGCATAGGTTTCTCCCCACCCCGCCACCCCACCCGTTTAAAGAAATATGTATTTTTATCTAGAATGATCCTGAATTAGTCTCTGCATATTTTTAAAAAGTGCTTGGGGACATTATATATATATGCCATTGCAAAAGTATTATGAGGCCTATGTATCCTACTGTGTTTAATATTGCATTAACCTGCACAAAGTTCATGCATTTTTATGCATTTTTTTCTTTCTAAGTAAGATATTCTTGATAACTAACATTCCCTAAATCATTTCTTATGTCTCGCTCCCTCCTGCCTTCCTTCCTTCCTTTCTTCCTCCCTCCCTGCCTGCCTGCCTTCCCTCCCTCCCTCCTTCCTTCACCCTGTCCTCCTTTTCCCTTTTATTTTTTCCCCTTCTCTTTCATTTTATTTTCTTTTAGAGAAACCACCTTATCTATTTTTAGACATTTCAAATTCCTAAAATGTGAACCATTGGGTGATCTGTCCTTTGGCCCTAAAACGGCTGGCTGGACTCTCCTGGCCTGTTCTCATCTGCACCATTTTATTTCATAAGAACTTCATGTATTTGGACTGTAACAAACGAAACAGAATCTAAGTCGCCCCAAAAAATCTTTCCAAATCTTTTCAAAACACTCATCTGCAGTCCAGAATTCAGCTCTTACGAAAAGTTATACTGCCCTCCAGTTTTCACAGCAGCAATTGGGGGGTGGACAAAAAGTTCCTCTTCCTAGAAAAAAATCCAGTAGGGAAGAGTTCAGACACTGTTGTGGCTGGTGAATCATTCAAGTAACCTGGTGGTACCAAGTAAGGGCAGAGGCACCTGCAGGTCTTTGTGGGGTCTTACTTCCCTCTTTTTTTTTTTTTTTTTTTTTTTGAGAGGAGTCTTGCTCTATCGCCCAGGCTGGAGTTGCAGTGGTGCAATCTCGGCTCATTGCAACCTCTACCTCCTGGGTTCAGGTGATTCTCCTGCCTCAGCCTCCCGAGTAGCTGCCACTACAGGCATGTGCCACCACACCCGGCTAATTTTTCCTATTTTTAGTAGAGACGGGGTTTCACTGTGTTTGCCAGGATGATCTTGATTTCCTGACCTCGTGATCCTCCTGTCTCGGCCTCCTAACGTGCTGGGATTACAGGTGTGAGCCATTGCGCCCGCCCTTTACTTCCCTCTTCAAGGGCAAACATAAGAAGGTATATGTATGTATACATTTATATACATGCACATATATATACACATACTTTATTGATACCATCTAAATACTTATTTGAATCAAAATAACTTAATTTTAGCTCATTTCTCAAGAGAAAGAGAAGGATCCCCAAGGAAAAAAATACTATTGTACCTTCTGTGATTCTCAAACCAAAACATGATGCCTTTCTGTTCTGTTATCTTAAATTGTTGTATCATATCTTTCTGAAACTATTCTGAATTAAGTTGAAATTATCAGTATTTATACTTTAATTGTTCTAAATTTAAACCTACATGTAAATCTTCTTTTGGGGGAAGGTAACTTTATAAGCTTAACTTGAAAATTTGACTTTTAACCTTTCATATTCTAAGGTAAATAATAGCCTATAATCACCAACAGCTTTCCCGGGGGGTCTTGAATTTAACACTAATTATTCAGTTATTGTTTCTCTTTCTCAAACACACATAACTCCGTTATTATTTGTGGCTGGAAGAAAAAGTTTTTGTATTTTGTTTTTGTCTTTATCTCATGCACACAATTTGTTGTTGGTGTTAAATAATTTGGAGCTCATAAAATTAAATTAAAAGTTGTAATTTTGACCATTTGGACTGAAAATTATATGAGGAATTATATATGCAATGTATTAGTATTTCCTGAGTTTGTAAAAGAAGGGGAAAATGATGGTAATTTGGCTCAAATTGCCTGTCTTTGAAGAAAATCTCGGAATGACTGAAAACCAAATATCTGTATCATCACTTTCAACCTCATGTTTCTGCAGACTACAGAAAAGCTCCTCACTGACCATGCGTCCAGCCCCTGATTGGGTCTTCAGGATTATGTCCATGTGCATAACTGCTTGAATTTCTTCTTTAAAGTCTCTAAAACATGAATCTGTTGTTTGAGATCCTGGTTCCTTAGAGTTGTAGGTTGCGGTTTTAATTCATGTGAAAATTCTAAGTAGAACTTACGCTGATCCATTTTATTGTTGGTGAAGGGCCATTGTTAATGGAAGTTTAGGTTTTTAAACTCAAATGACTCTAAAACCAGACCCTGATCATTTCTTGCAGCAGCAAAATGACTTACTCTGACAACGTCTCGGTTTAGGGCTTCTGAAGAACAAGGATGACACTGATCCATTGAAACAACTACTTTTCCAACTCAGAGGCAGAAGGGGCTGATGGAAGATAACATTCACCTACCATTTTATCTTGTGATTCCCGCCCCCATCAAGATCATGTCTCAGTGTTCTGGCTCGGTTTTTTGTTATTGTTTCTTTGTTTTAAATGATTAAATAATACACAATTAAGTGTCAGAATAGCATCTCTTGCAAAGTGAGCAGTGCAGCAGAATTGTCTATCCATATTTGAGCTTAGGGAAACATTTCCCACATCCTAAGTCGGTAGAAGCAGTTACTTTAGCGTTCGGGAGCATTGTTCTACCACAGCCATTTGTGCAGGGGAGATGAACTGAGGAGATGGGATGTCGGGTGGGAGTGTGAGTGTGTTTCTTCAGCCAAAGCTGTTGCAGGCCTGGGGGATCTTTGCCTTTTCCTTTTGTTTTGTTTTGGATTGCAGATTCTGTACATCTGTCTGTGGGAGGAGAGTTGCTACTCAGGCCAGGATTTAAGAGACATTCCAGTGACCTTTAAGAGGTGCATGGCGGGAGGTCCTTCTCCAGGAGTGTGGGTTGGTCCACTCTGGGACCCACCACGCTAAGGGGGAGATGATAAAATAACATTAAAGGAAGAATGGCCTCCAGCCTGCAGGTTTTGTTGGAAAGAAATAAAAAGGGAGTGATTAAGACCATAAATTCAGATTGAGTTCTCCCAAAAAGGTTGATGCGGGCTAGCAACCTGCCCGTCGAAACAGTCCTTGCTTCATCAGCAGTGTGGGGAGGTGGTCCAGGCTCCTGCAGATTCCTGGCTTTGACCTCGGAAAGCCTCTGTGATACTTGCATGTACGAACACAGCAGAGGACAGGGAGGTCCTTGTTCTGTGGTCTCTGCTTAGTGACTGAAACTTAAACCCAAAGGCAAGCCCAGAGTGTCTGGCCGTTCATTCCCGTTCCTTGATGGCGGTGAGGAGGAACGTTTTCCGTATGAAAGGCAGGCCCTGCTGAGGCTTACAACCAAGCCAAAGGACCATCTCTTCTTTCCCCCACCCTCCTTCACCCCTGCCCCGCAGCAGAGCCGAGATGTGAGACATTCATGGTCACAGAGCAAGAAGACAAAGGCAAGTTCAAGTTGAAAAGCATATGGCAGCAAACAAATGAAAACCATATGTCCCAGCCAGGGGGAAAAGCAGTCACTTCCAGATTATAAAAATCAGTGAAGTACTCTCCACCTGGGTCAGCTGAAATTCGAGCCCTCACAGTCAGGCCTGTCAGAGAAGCTAAGCAGAAACATCTCAGGGGGTTGGGGGAACGTCTAAAATTTGGTGAGGACAAGGCCTTGCAACCCTAAAGAAACTTTTTCCCTTAAAATAGGGTCTTGCTCTGTTGCCCAAGCTGGATTGCAGTGGCGTGATCATGGCTCACTGCAGCCTCAAACTCCTGGGCCCAAGCGCCCTCTCCATCTCAACGTCCCTAGTAGCTGGGACCACAGATGCATGCCACCATGCCCAGCTAACTAGAGAAACTTTCATTTGTTCATTCTTTCTTTGGGCACCATGAATACCTAAGGCAGGTAGAAAGGGTCCTGGAAAGATAATTGGCGATGGCCGATTGCTGGCTGCAGTCATTGCCCCCAGATCAGGCTGGTACAGGATGCCTTAAGGTGATGAGGTGAGGGTGCATGAAGAATAATGAGCACAGGGAAGAGAGAAGAAGCAGGACAAAGTAGCAGATAAGTACCGGCAAAGCACCAATGAATGTCTTCAAGGAGCTCTTGTGTTTCTCTGCACAATGTAAATACCCTTGCTATTTCAGGATGGCGGCTGGCCTGCTCGGTAACACACATGTTCCAAATAAAGATTTTGCATGAAAGTACCTGTGTCCATTGTCTTTGACTGCGGGTGCAAGAGCTGCCCTGGAGGCTGGTTCCTGAAGGGCAGTGGGCTGCAGGGAAGCAGCTCAGATGGTGTGGGTAACGCAGGAACAGGTAGTCCACAGGGTTCCAGCACCATTGGTCTCCACCGGGATTTCTTGGGAGTTAAAGCTCCTGTTTACGTCTCCCCCAAGGCTTACTCACATTGTGGAAAGAGGCCTAGAGTTAATTCAGGGACTAGGTGCAAATATTGACTCTATCACTAACCGTGTGGTCGTACACACATCACATCCCTGGCTTCTGTGTCTTCCCCAGCCTCTCCTACCAAAAGAACCTAAAAATCCAATATATAGGCTGGGTGCAGTGGCTAACGCCTGCAATCCCAGCACTTTGGGAGACCCTGGCAGGTGGATCATGAGGTCAGGAGATTGAGACCATCCTGGCCAACATGGTGAAACCCTGTCTCAACTAAAATGCAAAAATTAGCCATGCATGGTGGAGTGCCTCTGTAGTCCCAGCTACTCAGGAGGCTGAGGCAGAAGAATCTGAACCCAGGAGGCAGAGGTTGCAGTGAAATGAGATCATGCCAGTGCACTCCAGCCTGGGCAACAGAGCAAGACTCCATCTCAAAAAAAAAAAAAAAAAAAGCCAGGCTTGGTGGCTCACACCTGTACTCCCAGCACTTTGGGAGGCCACGGTGGGCGAATCATGAGGTCAGGAGATTCAGACCATCCTGACCAACATGGTAAAACCCCGTCTCTACTAAAAATGTAAAAAATTAACTGGGCATAGTGGCAGGCTGTAATGCCAGCTATTCGGAAGGCTGAGGCAGGAGAATTGCTTGAACCTAGGAGGCAGAGGTTGCAGTGAGCCAAGATCACACCACTGCACTCCAGCCCAGGTGACAGAGTGAGACTCTGTCTCAAAAAAAAAACAATAATCCAACATATAGAGAACCTCCACAGGTTATGGGTGTTGAGGACACAGAGAAGGAAGCTAGAGCAGGACCTTCTGGGGAAAATACTTGCCTGGCCATGCTTAGGTTTAACCTTCCAGGCCTCAGTCTTCTTGTAGGGCAGTTCTGGAAGCAGACAGAGACTCAGTGCAACATACTCTCCAATTGTGTCTGTCATCAGACCAATAAACCTCTAAGCTGTTGTTTCTGAGTTCTTAAAAACATGATCCTTCTTTCCAGTGCAGGCTTCCTCTGTCTCCAGTAAGCTTTTGTAAGCTGTTTCCCTCATTTCTTCCTTGGCTCCATGTGTGCAGAGCCCAAAGCTTGAGTATCCCAGGGCCCTCCAGCTAGTCTGAAATTTCATATCACATTAAGATGTGGGTTTTAAAGTAAGGATTATCCCCTAGTTGGTTGATAATTGAATCCACATATTAAAATATGACTAAAAAAATCCCTTAACCACATTCATGCTAGAAGATGAAACACACAACCCAGGAGTTGGGGGACTCATCCTGGGCCTGGCTCTGCCATTAACTAGCTGTGACATGGACCCTCTTTCCCTGAAACACTTCACCCTGTAAGTGGAGAAGGGAATTGAGCTAAGTTGGCTGGTTCCTTCCAAATCTAAGCTTATATAACTCTTTTCTGGCAAACCTGAATGTCCATAGGGTCTTTTGTCCTGCCAGGAGGGTTCAAGAGTAAAAACATGGAAAACAACGTCTGTACGTGGCTGCAGACTGGGTCACGGCCAGGGTGGGAGTCCTGCCATTATTTCTCCCACCAGGGTGGTCCACTTCCCCCATTCCAGTAACTTATCATGTATCTCCCCATCGCCATCGCTATGGCCCAGCCAAGGGACTGACAATATTGAATTCTCCCAACATATTTTTCTTATGTTAGGGCAGGGCACTGGGGTGTTTATAAACTGGGCAGTCAGCCCAAGGCATTAATCTGCAGTCACCCACATAGCCTGCTTTTCTCACAGTTTGGCTGCTGGGGTCCTTTTAAACGCACTTAGTTTTGGAGATGTTTGTGTCTCACCAGCTAAATTGCCTTTCTGCTTCGACCCCACACACCAGTGTTTCCCCAAGTGGTCAGCTTGCAATTGACTGGCTGGAAAAGCTGCCAGTCCTGCATTGCTTATGGTTTTGGGGACCAAAACTCCATGGGAAACTGAGTTCTAGCCCCTCTGGGCTCCAGGGGGCCTCTAGTTTGGTTTCTGCTGGAAAGCCCAACTTCTCCTGGAGTTAGAGGAGATTTACTCGGGAGACCCTGTTCACTGTTTCTTTTCTTGACTCCCTCACTCTGTCCTGTGCTTCCTGCTACGTTAGCCATGGTTGTTTGTTTTAATGTTTTTTAACTTTAGAAACAAGGTTTTGTCCTGTTGCCCAGGCTGGTATTGAACTCCTGGGCTCAGGGGATCCTCCTGCCTCAGCCTCTCGAAGTGTTGAGATTATAAGCGTGAGCCACCACACTGGCCAACCATATTTGTACCTAACCTGACTTCACTAGTATATTTCTTTTCTTTTTTCTTTCTTTTTTTTTTTTTTTTTTTTTTGAGATGAAGTTTTGCTCTGTCGTCCAGGCTGGAGTGCCATGGCACAATCTCGGCTCACTGCAACCTCCACCTCCCAGGTTCAAGTGATTATCCTGCCTCAGCTTCCCAAGTAGCTGGGATTATAGGAGTGCACCACAATGCCTGGCTAATTTTGTATTTTTAGAAGAAACGGGGTCTCACCATGTTGGTAGGTCTGGTCTCCAACTCCTGACCTCAAGTGATCCACCAGCCTCAGCCTCCCAAAGTAGGGATTAGAGGCATGAGCCACTGTGCCTGGTCCCACTGGTATATTTCTAAGCTTATGATAGCAGGGTCAGCTTTTGCAGAAATAAACCAAATCTGCATTTACAGGTTGGGTACCCCTAATCCAAGATATTCCAGAATCCAAAACTTTTTGAATGCCGTCATGACACAAGTGGAAAATTTCACACCTGACCACATGTGATGGGTACACAAAATTATTTAAGATGTTATATAAAATTCCCTTTAGGCTATGTGCCTAAGGAGTGTATGAAACATCAATGAATTTTGTGTTTTTGCCAGGCGCAGTGGCTCATGCCTGTAATCCTAGCACTTTTAAGACGCCAAGGCGGGCGGATCACTTGAGATCAGGAGGTCAAGACCAGCCTGGCCAACATGGTGAAACCCCATCTCTATTAAATATACAAAAGTTACCTGGGTGTGGTGGCAGGTGCCTGTAATCCTAGCTACTCAGAAGCCTGAGGCAGGAGAATCACTTGAACCCAGGAGGTGGAGATTGCAGTGAGCCAAGATTACGCCACCACACTCCAGCCTGGGTGACAGAGGGAGACTCTGTCTCAAAACAAAAACTGTGTTTAGACTTGGGTTCCATCCCCAAGATAACTCATTATGTAAATGTAGATATCCCAAAGTCCAAAAAACTCCCAAATCTGAAACACTTCTGGTCCCAAACATTTTGGATAAGGTATATTCAACCTACCCTTAGAATTTTTTGTAAGTATTTAAAATAAAATGCACAACCTGAGGAAGAGGGGGAGACAAGGAAACTAACATTGTTGGTTTCTTATTGTGGGCACCACATATTATGTGTATTAATTAATTTAATGCACACCATTTCATGGGAGACAAAACAGGTACAGAGAGGCTGAATTATTGCTTGCACCACACAGCTAGCAGCCAAGCAGGGATTCAGACCTATTCACGTTAACCCCCAAATCCATGCTGTTCCTTTTAGCTTGTTACATCCTAGGAGGATGACAGAATAATCCCCTATTTAGTCATGAAATTCAAAGGTAATATTCTTCCAATACGAAATGCATTCGTTAGGATTGGGTTAAGCTGCCTATGCTGGAAAATAGAAACTAGCGGTGGTTTAAGTGAAGTGGAAGCTTATTTCTCTTCTCATGCCTCTCCAGAGGCAGGCTGTCCAGGACTAGCACGAAGCTCCTTGGCAATCAGGGATCTGGGCCCCTTGTGTCTTTCTGTTCCAGCATCCTTGCACGGTGACTTCCATCCTCAAGGTAACCTCATGTCCAAGATGGCTGCTGGAGTGCTGGCTTTCCTGGACACTTTCCAGGCAACTGACAAGAGGAAAAATTCTCCTCCCAGACAAGTTAGCTTCCTTTAAAGAGACTTCCAGGAAGTCCTACACTCTTCTACATATACAGTCAGCCCTCCATATTCACGATTCTGCATCCACAAATTCAACCAACTCCAGATCAAAAATATCAAGGAAAAGAAAATGACAATACAACAACTGAAGAATATAAATATTGCAGTATAATAACTACATGGCATTTATATTGTATTAACTATCATAAGTAATCTAGAGAAGGCTTAAAGTTTACAGGAGGACATATGAAGGTTATATGTAAATACTACATCATTTTATATAAGGGATTTAAGCATCCATGGATTTTGGTATCCTTCAGGGACCTGGACCCAATCCCCTGCATACCCCAGGAGGACTGTATTCCATTTGCAAGAATTTAGTCACGTGGTCGAACAGCTGCAAGGGAGTCTTGGAAATGTAGTCCACTTAACTGGGCACCATTATGGTTCTAAATAAAATCACAGATCTGTTGGTAACCAGAGAGTTACAATAGTTATTGATTGGCAACCGGTGGCCCCTTACACAGTTAAACCACCAATGAGCTGAGTCTTAGCCCCAGGGCAGATGGAAGCTCACTAGATAGCAATACCAAGCAGCTTCTGTGTGCCCTGTGTCTCTGTGACCAGCTGGTGTGACCGGCACCTCACAGGCAGCACAGATTATTTTGTCTCACCAAAAAACAAAACATGCTACCCTGAAGAAAAGGGGGTTTCATACCTTCAATCCCCCAATTTGGGAGACCCAGGAGGGAGGATCACTTGAGGCCAAGAGTTTGAGGCTGCAGTGAGTCAATATTTTTCCACTGCACTCCAGCCTGGGCAACAGGGAGACTCTGCCTCAAAAAAAAAAAAAACAAGTTTGGGGGAAGGTTAGTAGTGCCTTCAGTTTAACA